GTGCCAAGTGGGCCGGGCAACAACGGCGGCGTTTATGATAGCAAAGAATAAGAAAAAAGAGAAAAAAAATGGAAAATTAAATGGCTGCAATAATTAAAACACCTGTTTTAATTAGATTGAAATGCATGTACACACAGGAATACACATACACACGCTTTTTTGGGGGTTTTCCATGAGAATAAAAAACTGAGCTCGGCCAGCGACAAGCGAAGATATGTTGAAAGTTCCTTTGGGTGTTAAACTGCAGACACAATTAATGACTTGTCGGCGGCTTCAAAGTTGTGTGTGTGAGTGTGTGTGTGTGCCTGTTACAACTTAATCATAGCTGGGAAGTTCTCGAGCAGCTGGAAGTTTCATTTTCTTAGGAAAGTTGCCATAGCGATTACCGATTTACCGCTATTGGGTTTTCCGTATAATGCTGTTATTGTGGGCTGTGCCCTTTGACTGCGACCACAAATATGCCAAAACATGATCATCAGCATTTGTCATTTGAATGTCTTGGGAGACACACACACACGCAGAGCACACACCCCTAATCCTTTGGGCTTGACTTGAGCTGTGGGTCCGCCTTTGGTTTACCTGTCAATGTCTAACAATGAGCATTGCATTCCATACACACATACATATATGTATTTACTTTTTTTTTATTTTCTTCAAGTTGTTGTCTGGTTCGCCTGCTGCCGGCTTCTACTTCAAATGAAGTGCATTCATCCGGTGGCAATCCTTTTTTCTCTTTTTTCTTTCTGTGCATCATTTCACTTGAATTTGCGTTGACATCCTGCAGACGTATGGCTCGTTCTGTTCTGTTGTGTATCCTGTTGTTGTCTATGTCTATATATAACGAGCATCGCTGACATATCCTTTAACCATGATTAAAAACGTAAAGTAAATGAAAATTGTTTTGTGCTTACGCCTCTTAGCACACCTTGAAAACAACAACAAAAGGTCCCTACACAACAGCAACAACAGGAGCAAGAGCACAGAGAGAACTGCACTGAACTTGAGCTCGAAAGGAGTTTCAGAGCGCAATAGGACAATAGACAACTGCCTTCCTGTAGGCTTCTTTTCCACTCATTCAACGCGTTTCCACATGCACTTAAAACTCTACAGATTTTCCCACTTAGTGATAAAGTTGCCGTTGAATGGCCCGGCAGTTGCCTATTGTCTCTAGGACACCGACTTCCAGAGACACAGCCCCCCCTTCGTAATAAGCCCCAACACAAATGGTTTGGGCAGGAGGGAGGGCCTTGCGATTTCATGCTTAAATGGAGTCGTTAAATTATTTTCTGAAATTGAGTCGAGCGTTTGTTGTTGTCCTGGTGTGTGTGTGTGTGTGTGTGTGTGTGTGTGTGTGTGTGTGTGTGTGTGTGCTTGGGTGTGCTTGCCTGCCATATGTGTGGCATTGGCATTGGCATTGGAGCTCCACTTTACTTAGAAGCCGGGCACGTCGTGTTGTAAACGGAAGTACTTACTTCCCACTCCCTGCCACAAAGTCACTCGCAGGCATTAAATTAAAATATGTTGCGTTACGTTTTTTTCCTTTTTTTTTTTTGGCTGTTCTTTAATTAAAACCAAAATGTTATTGTCCGCGTTTGGAATTTGTTTTTTTTTTTTTGTGCGTGTGGCGCGGGGCGTTTAAATGCATTTTGTATGTGATTTCACGGTTTTATGGCAGACACTTTCTTGCCTGAAGCTAATGGCGTTCATGAAGTACAAAACACGCGCAGACTTGAACTTGACATTGGATAAGATTTCGTGGTGGTCTTATTTTCTTTTTTATTGGTATTCCAAGAAGCTTCGACAGCAAACGTGTGTCGTTTAATGTCACATTAATAGAAAACGATTTTTTTTTTATTCCATTTTTAATTGCATAAAGGTGATAAACAGCTTAACACCTTTGCAAATCCCACAAGTTAAGAAACAAAATAAGAAACAAAATAAATCAAAATCGATCTAAGGCTAAGAAATATTACAAATAAATCGACAATTCCATTTATATCTTATACTAAGAGACTTTATTTGATTAAGTTCGTAACCCCTTTGAATACTTTGCGCTGTTCGATTGTTTTACTTTGACTTAAAACGCATTCTCAATCCTTTCTCTGCTTATCTGGGTCTAATTTTTTGCATATCTACACGATACTTCAATTTTCTTTAACAACGCTTTCAACTTTAAGCTCCACATGGTCCAAAAAAAAAAAATACATACATATATATAGAACAAGGTCAGCTGTTAACCAGACCAGAGCAGAACCAGCCTGACAGACCGGCTGAGAGCAGAGCGCACCAGGCCAGGCCAAGCCCAAGTCCAATATGGTCAATATATCACGTGACGCCTACAATTTAAACTGCCAAAAAAATGAAATGCAAACAGGGCAAACGAAGAGAAATGACAAACATTTATATAAATAACACCATCGACTCCAATTAAAGCAGCTTTGTGGAGCCCGATTCCGGCCGGAGGAGAAGCGGCTGCTCTGCTCTGTTCGCTGGTGTCTGATAAAAACCGCAAAGCGAAATGTTTGTGTGTAAGTGAATGCGAGCGCGTATGTGTGTGTGTGAGTATAATAAAAATGCAAAACAAAAACGGCCAAATATGTTTTTTGTGGCCCGCGTGGGCGTGGCAAACAGAGCGGCAACCAAAGACGACGACGAACAACAACCGAACCACTTCCAACTGTCATTCGCATGGAAAACGATGACGTACCGATGCACTGGACAACAAGAACAACAACAGCAAGAATAAGTCAAGAGAAAGGTTGACACTAAATAATCCTGGCTAAATACCCTAACCAGAGCCAACAAATGTATTTCCTCTACTCTTATAACATAAATAATAGAAAACCAACCGAAGTTATTTTAAAACGGCTAAATATAATTTGCAATTTAATAACTATTTGAAAATTGTAACTCATAGCAATCTTATGAACTATTTAATACAAAATTAAATAAATTAAGGCTAGATTTTTTTTTCATAAAAAAATAAAAAAGGGATTTCCATGACTTACATATTGTCAACTGTAGTTTATAAATATTATGTAGAATGCAATCAAAGCTAACAAAATATACGTTTCCCAGTATACGAATTCGACCAGATTTCAGTAGTAATAGAAAAAGTCACATCAAATCATAAAAAACTAAAATATCTAATAAGTAGTTAAACTAGGTTATACTGTACAATCACATAGCTAACGTACCTCTACCAAGGCCCATGCAAAATGTTGCAGCAACATTTGGCAGCAAGTGGCGAACGACGAGAACAATAATAATTTATGCATGCGTTGCGGTAGCCGGAGACACTGCCTGCAGTGAGAAAGAGCGGTGGGCGGTAGGCGGGGTGAAAAATGGTTTGCGGGGAATAACCGCAAAATGTTCGCTTTGCATTTGCCATTATTGTTGTTGTTGTTGTTGTTGCTGCTGCTGCTGTTGTTGCCGCTGCTGTTTACAGGGTCCCCAGCCGAAGCAATATGCATACACAGTATGCAGCGCAAAAAGTGAATCTGAGCTGCAGCCGGAAAACGGAAATTGTGGCAAACGCAGCCCTCGGCTACTGGTCCGTTACCCCAAGCCCCTCGCTGCCCTGTACTGCACCTCTGCATTTGGAAAAACCACATGACTTGCGACCGCTGCTCTCAAGGATTTATGCTTCGCCACCGTTTAAGTCAGGCCAATCTGTTGGCTTCAGCTTCCTCAGCTGCGTTCGCGCGGTTTTTGTCGCGCTCCAGCAATTTTCGGCTTTGGCTTTCAATTTGCAATTGCAATTGGCTTCAAAATGTGTGAATTACATGCGCAAGGACACATTTTGAGCTTAGACAAATTGTATGCCAGTGGGTCGGACTTTGAATTACGACACCAGAGCTGCCAGCTGCCATTTTGCATGGCTCTGCTCGGATTTTCATTAAACGCAGCCAGAACGCACGCCCTGCGAAAATGCTCCACATATAGTAGATTAATCGCGCGTCTGGTATCAGCGTTTTTTTCCACATGTTTATTTTGTATAAATAACAACAGAAGCAGAAGTATTGAGAGAAGACTTGGGCAGTCCCTGAGGCGTCAGGGTTCGAGTTAAAAGTGAAGCAGGCCTTGATATATACGCATTTTAGTTGGGCAATATTGTTATACATTTAAAATGGGAGCGATAACAGCTTATTTTGACAGTATGATATCAAGTAATGAGATTTTAAACAATTCACCCATTGAGCCATTGTATAAGTTAAATTGTTACCTGATTCCCATATAATCCTCTATCAATGGCGGCTTATTAGCTACCCCCTAGAACAGGTCATTTAACAAATCCGTAAAACCAACTGTACTCACAGCTTCCACCATTAGAAAGCAGCCCGCACATGCAGCACAAACGACAATCAGTAAAAAGGGGAAAAAAGTATACACATATATGCCAAAAAAAAATTATAGGAATATTGAGCAATAACGACATATGAATTTAATTGCCTAAATAATCCTAATCAAGGCGCGGAAATCAAACTGAACAAATGTTGACAAAAGAACGAAGCACGGAACGAGCCAACGCTGATTGCTTTTAATAAAAATATAATGTATCCGCACTCGAAGGCCATCAAAATCGCAGAAATCAAAATGAAAATGAAATCGAAATCGAAATGAATGCGAAACGCAACGAATGCGAACAATGACAACTTAATTTCTGCCATAGAAAGTGCCCGCAAAGGAGCAGCCAAAATTGACATATTGACAGCCAGACAAAAGGCAGCACACGACCCATTTTATGGGGTGGTTCCAAGTCCAAAACATGGTCCATGGACCAAGCCGAACCGCAATCGCAGTGCAGTTGTCAGCGGCGGTGTCAAAAATAACAAACATTGCGACAGCAATAAAATATCAAACAACAAAAAAAAATAAAAGCAGCATATAGCTGAACGAAGACTGAATGCTCTAACAGTCAAAGACCAACATTTTGTAAAACAGTTAACATTATTTAGAATCTTATTTATAAACATAATAATAAATGTATATGCACTCACCCAAAAATGCACCTCCATATGAAATATGTTCTTATTGCTCTTTATTGGCAGAATAAGTCTGACTTTTATATATCACACTTCGCTGCAAAAACAAATATAGAAAGCATACTTTTATACATGGCAAACATAAAAGATGTGAGATAGCGCTTCCCATTCATTTTCCACAACATTCACCCAAAGAAAAAAATGTTCGAGCTAACTAAAAAATAAAAATCTAACTTCTAACTTATGATTTGAGCTGTGCGTTCGTCAGCATTCAGTAAGTCAATTATTCTGGACATATAATTTTACGCAGAAAGCAGTGTTATACAATTCATGACAAACTTAATGTACACAAAGTTAGGGTATACACAACATGGAACGTCTATAGGCTGATGCTTAATTGAAGCTGCAGTAGCTACAGAAAAATCCAATCAAAACGCAATGAAAACCAAGAGCACAGGACGAGACAGCTGTGACTCAACTCGAAATATTTTGCCTCTCCCTTTCGCATCCTCTGTTGCTCTATCTTTCTATCTCTATTTCAATATACAAACACTCACACACACATTGACACACTCACGTTCAGCATGGCTGTTGATGTTATTCTCGCAAATAATCACAACAAGGCCCAACAAGGACCTTGTCAAATGCACGTAAGCGATATAGATACAGATACTGAGCTATACAGATATTGAGATATAGATACAGCCGCAGATAAAGCCCGGCTGCAAACAAACGCTGGATGAGTGTCTGACTCGTTCCGACCCGGCCTGCTGAGATGTCAAGGCTGCATTGTCCGGTGGAGCGTGTATAAGCGGCCCGCGTCCCTCGCCCCATACCCCGCAACCCGCAATCCGTAGTCAACGTAACTCGACCAAATTGCAGTCACCCCCCGGCACCCAAACAAACAAATCCAATTTGAGCCACAATACACAAATCCTGTTTTTGTTTTCCTTTCCAACTTCGTTTGAGTCGTCGTTGCTCTGGTCACATTAATAAATCCTTTACCCAACAACATTGCTGAACAATAATAAATATACAAAAATTTTCTCTACCAACCAGTTTGTATGGCAAATAGTTTTCACTGCCCCTGTCCAACGGCTTTTTGGGTTAAGATTAGCCAAATACCAGACACCTCTCAGCCTCTGAACAATATAAAGTCTGTCGGCTGCTCTGTGGGACTGTTTGTTATGATTATTGCCCGTTCGGAGAGAATTATTCAGTGTTGAATGTTCAAGGTACTTAGGATGTGCTGCCAACAAACTAGTCTAGAGAATGCAGCTGCTTTAGCTGGAAATTATTTCTAGGCAAATAGGTTAGCTTTGTGGCTCAATAATGAGGTAAGAAATGAATGCAATGTGTTCTACAAAAGTTATGAATAGAGCTGGCAGGGGCGTAATTGCATTTTTTCTCTATATAGACAAAACGAACTCTGAATTTCTATATCGACTTAAGCAAAAGGGAACAGATATTTTTTTGTTTCTTTTCCTTTTATTTCTTTAATTTTCTTGATAGTAATTCTATGAAAAATTCCCTTAACCAAGATATTAAAGGTCAGATTAGTCTAAATTGCAATTAGAATAAGCAAAAACAGTATAAGTTTATTCCCTATCTTTGATAAGAATGCTTCAACTTCTAGCTAACATTTGATTTGCTGCACTTAGGGAAATATACATAAACTTCTAATCCCAACTACATAAGCCATTAAGCTCTCAAAGCCCCTAAGCTATTAATAAGCACGAAGTTCCTTCTGAGCAGACAACTAATTTTATGGCCATCACATCAACCAACGCCAACAAACAGCTACCAGGCCAATCAAACACACACATAGCAGAGACAGAGATTCGCACACCACCCACAGCACATAAAAAAACGCCCACATGACAAATAAGACAAAGCACTCATAAACCACGCCCCAACCACATGCCAAAAACTCATTCCGCTGATCAGCAGAGGCCAAGAAAAAATTGAGAGAATTTGTTAGCTGTGTTATGTAAATTGCACACAAGAGTGTCGGCACAGGGCAAACAGAACAGGCCCTACTGAACCAATATACCCGCACATACATGAGTATAAATATATATTATGTAAATAAAAGAAATAATAAGCTGCGTCGAGCCACACGAAAATCCTAAACAAAAAAAAAAAAAGAAAGCCAGCCAAAATTATTTTCATGATGCGTTGATGATGTTTATATTTACGATACGACAAATATGCAGTAGGTTGACATGGAATACGCGGGGTTTGGAGGGGGGTTAGCCACTGAAATCATTTTGTAATATAATTTGTGTTGTTGTTGTTGGGGATACACTTTTATGGGCGCCCGGGCATAATCAACATTATCCGAAAACCGCAAACCGCCTACAAAACGCTGAGGCGCGCGCCCTCCTGCGGGGCCAAAGCCCGGGCGCATTATCATCTCATTGCACAGGACTTAATCCTGCGGCAAGTTATTAAAGCGTAACGTAACGTTCCTTGCCTCATTGTCGTCGTCGTCGTCGTCGTCGTCGTTGTCGACATCATCCTTGTCGTCGCCCCCGTTTTATTGTTCGCGCTGCGCTTAACTTGTTTCGCATTGTGTGGAGCGTGCCAGGAGGCCAGAACCTTGGCGAAAGAAGGCGCTGCCTTAATGCTAAATGATCCAATATCCTGTTTCCTGCATTTGTCTGTGCAGCACCAGCAGCACCAGCAGCACCAGCAGCAGCGCCTATCTTAAAAGGTCCTTTGTGACCAGGCCTCAACTCTACTCGTTTCTGGCCATTATTTACCCGCTCTGTGCGAACTTAAAGATGCCTCCACCCCAAAGGAACTGCTGCACACTTATTTGTCCAGCACGAATAAAAAAGAAACTATGTTGGGCAAAAAGTATGGCAGGCATACAAAAGAAAAGAAAATGATGTTGTATCTGATTCTTTGCACACGGCAAGTTAAATAGCAGAATGTAAAGTTTTAATTATGCAACTCGTCGACGTCGTCATCGTCCTCAGATTGTTAGTCTGGGCACTAAGTCTTTTCATTTCATCTACTAAAGATGCGATGCCCAAAAGTTAAAATACACATAATTAGCAGTAGTTTTCAGTCGCTTTCAGTCGTTTGCGCAGCGCCTTACAATTTTTTCTTTTTGTCGTTTTTTGGCACAGCTTCCAATTCTGTCGTTCATTGTATATGACTGTGTATCTTTGGGATATGCCTGCCTGCCTGCCTAGTTGTCTATCAGTCCCAGTATCTGTCAGTAGTGTCCAGAAACTAGGCCAGCAGTTCCTATAAGAACTTGCTGTTTGGCTTAGCACAAAACTGTTGACAAGCGACGAGGCCTGAGCTAATTAAATGAAAATATTAATTATGACTAAGACTGAGCATTGAAATGATTAGCCATTTAATTAAGTAATGTAAATAAAAATTAATTAGAGTACACGTGGATGTCTATTATTTGATTACTTCATGACTTCAAAACCAATTGAATTTGGCAATGTCTACCTGGAAGTAATTGCAGATTATTATTCCTTGATAATTTTTTATAATTCTGATAAATACTCGTACAATTTATAGTTAAATAATACTTATTTTAAGTGTTTTAAGTGCTTGAAAGATCATGTTGCGTCTGAAACATTATGAAGGCAACTCTGCACAAAAGCCTCATTCCCAGCGGCAGCAAACTTTTTCGACGCCTTCAAGTATGCTTTAAAAACCAAAAAGTTTAACACTCGTCCAGCCCACTTTTAACGCCGTTGCCTTTGTGTCCATGTTTTTTAGGCAGCAAGTGCGAACAGGACTGGGAAATGGGGCGGGAGATTAGCTTGGGGCAAAGCATGCGCATAACTGTTACATGTCGTAATATTCACCAATAACAACAAGAAAAACACAAACAAAAAATAATACCAAAAACATGCCACAAACATGGCATTGAAAGTCGTTGTCAAAATAAAAAAAAAAACCAACGAGTGGCGGCAACACCGAATGAAAAGCAACATTTTTAGCGCCTAGCGCAACATAATCTTGTTAACAATTTGTGAGTGTGCGTATGCTTGTGGATATGACACATGTGACAACAACAGGAACAGAATGTGTAAAAAAAAAAGGAAAAAGAATTCTTCAAGTCAATGCCAAAACATGGCGCATTTGTTTTGTTCTACATAATCCTGTAGGTGTGACATTTGTATGTATAAATTTCAGCTTTGATCCTTTAAGGATAAAGCCGAGCGCTCTGGGAATGCCGGAGCACCAGAGCCAATTGCCGACAATCACACAGCATAAACAAATACAAAAACAAAAAAAAAAAAAAAAAAAACATATAACAAAATATAAAAGAAAATGTGACTCATGTTGAATGTGTTTCGGGTTTGTGTGTAACACTTGAGGCATTTGCCAACCACCTCAACTCCAATCCACAGTACTTCTTACGGCCAACTTAAGTTGTCAAAATCAGCTACATTTTGCCTTTCTCCTCTTTTCACAGGCCTCGTGTTGTTTTCCTTTTATTTGACACTGTCCTCATCTTTGCATACACTCACTAGATTTTCCCTCAACATTTTTCTTGCTGGCAAACATATTTTTCCTGTAGGTACTGTGACATTTGACCGCGCGAACAACATCAAAGAAATTGTTTGGCAAATTGCCCGGTGAATAATCCCACCTGAACGCTGGTCTTGTTCTAAATAAAAAGGTTTCAAAATGCATATGAATGATGTTGGGTGTGCCAAGAAGCATTTGAAAAACTGTATAAATACACTGGTCAGCTTAAGAGTCTAAAAAAACAAACACAGTAACATGTTTTCTATCTAAATTATCTGATCGTAATAAAACGTTTCGAAATAATATATATAATAAATATCGAATCAATATAAGTATAAAATATAAAATCAAAATGCTGTTTTATAAAAAGTAGCTTTAAACGTTCGTTCTTAGCGAATTTTAATAATGATTACAACTGGATTAGGTAAATTAATTGGTAGCGTAATATATAATTCTATCTCTATAGCTGATATAATTAAATAACATTTAAGAATATTCCATTCGGTTATTTCAAATTTTTTTATATAATATTCAGGAGGATCAACATAATACAAATGCGAAATAAATTGTTGTTCATAATCCTGGCTCT